CGGAAAAATCACTTTTTGAATTTCAGATTCCTCTAGATTTTCAGTGAATTTCCTCAAGAATCCCGAAATTCCAAGAATTTTGAAGGAATTCCGTGAAAATTCAAGGGGATTCGGCAGTAAATATTGATTTCCATTCGGAAATTCATGTAAATTGTGGAAATTCACCTAAATTGTCAAATTTCCGTCCTCCTGTGGCTAATAAATTGGGACTAGTTGAAAAAGTGTCTGGGATTAGGACGATTTTGTTCCTGTTCTCAAGTTAAGACCCTAAGACATGTATATTAACACTCCTGGGAGAATGGATTCTGCGAATGTGTCAGCGAATGCCTCCAGCCGAAATGCAGGGCAAAATGGAGGCGTTGATCAGTGGACAAAGAGACGGAGCCGATATGTACATAACGTATTTTGCATATACGGACTGGTCAGACGTGCCCTCACGGATCGGTAATAATCGTTGAATTTACCAATGTTAATTCGAATGCATACGACAAACGTTAAATCTGGGGTGAATCACCGATGTAGTCGAGGTGGGTAAATATATCGGGAAATGACCGGTGTCTCCGGGGAATTGTTGGCGAATTATGCATTATTTGTGGGGCACTGCAGCAGTGGATATTTTTTGAGTTTTGGGGTGATTGGGAGATTAATTTTGACGTTGGGACTTTGATTTGGGGGTGATTGTCATTTTATGAGGTTATGGCGGGGATTGAAAGAGATTGAACTTTTTTGATTATTATGGAAATCAGCAGAATGATGATGAATATTGGAAACGAGATTGAAGCGGGTTTTACGTCGCTTTTCGGCTGTAGAAAACCGACCTGATTCTGAACGTTTTCACTCTACGTTAGTCGGAAATACGTCTGGTTTTAGTCGGTTTCTGGTCGTCTCTTTTTCGAATAAATTGAAAATGGATAAAAGAACGAATGAATGAATTATTAATAATAAACTAACGGAGGCAATCGTGCAATGTAATTCCTTGCTCATCGTGAATTATCACAGGAATGTCGGACAAAACGAACCGTTCCGGGAACACCAGTCCCTCGATTCCATAATTAAAACCTCAATAATCAATCCCCATTCACAAGATTCGAGCCACGTAATATGGCAGTGTTTCAAATTTAATGAAAGTAGGAAAAAATTAACCGAAGACCTTGCGTTTAATATTACATCATTCCCAGCTGACATTCATGTCCACCATTACTAATTATTTTCAAATTTCCCATTAAAAATTACATCACCGTTGAATTACAAACTCAATTAATTTATGTATTGTAAAATATAGTATTCACTACCTATTTTTTTTTAAAACAATCATATTTAAAATTAAATTTTTTGTTTTAAAAAACATTAATCAATTCCCTAAAAATAAAAAAAAATACCGTCAGACCCAACAAATCAAAGAGCCCCCCCCCCCTTAATAAATCGATAGCTGAATTACAAACTGAATTAATAGATGTATTATAAAATATAGTATTCACTACCTATATTTTTTTTAAAAACAATCATATTTAAAATAAAATTTTTTGTTTTAAAAAACACCAATCAATTCCCTAAAAATAAAAAAAAAAAACCGTCAGATCCAGCAAATCAAAGATCCCCCCTCCCCCGATAATAAATCGATACCTGAATTACAAACTGAATTAATCTGTGTATTGTAAAATGTAATATTCACTACCTATTTTTTTTTAAAAACAATCATATTTAAAATTAAATTTTTTGTTTTAAAAAACATCAATCAATTCCCTAAAAATAAAAAAAAATACCGTCAGACCCAGCAAATCAAAGATCCCCCCTCCCCCGATAATAAATCGATACCTGAATTACAAACTGAATTAATCTGTGTATTGTAAAATGTAATATTCACTACCTATTTTTTTTTAAAAACAATCATATTTAAAATTAAATTTTTTGTTTTAAAAAACATCAATCAATTCCCTAAAAATAAAAAAAAATACCGTCAGACCCAGCAAATCAAAGATCCCCCCTCCCCCGATAATAAATCGATACCTGAATTACAAACTGAATTAATCTGTGTATTGTAAAATGTAATATTCACTACCTATTTTTTTTTAAAAACAATCATATTTAAAATTAAATTTTTTGTTTTAAAAAACATCAATCAATTCCCTAAAAATAAAAAAAAATACCGTCAGACCCAGCAAATCAAAGATCCCCCCTCCCCCGATAATAAATCGATACCTGAATTACAAACTGAATTAATCTGTGTATTGTAAAATGTAATATTCACTACCTATTTTTTTTTAAAAACAATCATATTTAAAATTAAATTTTTTGTTTTAAAAAACATCAATCAATTCCCTAAAAATAAAAAAAAATACCGTCAGACCCAGCAAATCAAAGATCCCCCCTCCCCCGATAATAAATCGATACCTGAATTACAAACTGAATTAATCTGTGTATTGTAAAATGTAATATTCACTACCTATTTTTTTTTAAAAACAATCATATTTAAAATTAAATTTTTTGTTTTAAAAAACATCAATCAATTCCCTAAAAATAAAAAAAAATACCGTCAGACCCAGCAAATCAAAGATCCCCCCTCCCCCGATAATAAATCGATACCTGAATTACAAACTGAATTAATCTGTGTATTGTAAAATGTAATATTCACTACCTATTTTTTTTTAAAAACAATCATATTTAAAATTAAATTTTTTGTTTTAAAAAACATCAATCAATTCCCTAAAAATAAAAAAATAAATACCATCAGACCCAGCAAATCAAAGATCCCCCTGCCCTCGATAATAAATCGATACCTGAAAACACCTTACATAACATTTGATTACAAACTCATCAGCCAAGTCCCGGTACGGTACTTTCCCTCACCCAAGCACCGAGTTACTAAATCATAGAGAAGACCCGCGTGCGGATTACGCGGCCCCGGTGTGTATGTGTTATAATAACGCCGGCCCGTGTGACAGTGGGAGCGAGACAAACAGAGAAGAGTGTGCCCGAGAATAAGCGAAGACGGCCGAACAGTGCCCGAGCGCGTAGGGATGGTGGTGAGCGAGCCAGCGTGCGCCAGAGTTGGCTCTGCCTCAATTCAATAGCCTCAGTACCGAGCCGTCACGGGTCAGGTCTCGACGTGTGGTCTGCTCATGATTTTCCAATCGTGAGGCGATACTCACGGACCAAAACAGCCATCAAACCCCCGCCAAAATGATTTAATCCCCGATTCTCTCAATTTTTTTTCGCATTTATGAGTCGAATGAACGAGCGAATTGTCATGTGCAGAAGCAATTGGTGATGACAGGTGAACGCAACTCCTTGAAAAAAGGCTAGTCCCCCGCGTTTAATCGATCGATCGATGAATGGATGCCACGATCAAAGACAACTGACACCCAAAGAGAAATACAACTGAACCCAATCGCACTCGAGCGAATTCAGACAGTGAAAATCAAACGTTCGATCAAGCCAAGTGTATAATCATCATTGCAGTGCAATATTTTCCCCGAAAAAACCAATGCATATGCATCAGTGTTTCAAACCACGTTGCTACACTCTCCGTGTTTCGTTTATTGAATAACCAATTGATAATCCCGCCACATGCGCACAACACGTGAAATATCGTTGCGCGATGCATGCGCAAAGTTTTCAGTGGTAAAGTGGTGGGTAAAGTGAAACTCGCTGAATTTAATTGCAACTGAATTCGCATAATTAAACGCGCCGGTGTGTAGACACGTATAAATACGACGATTCAACCCTTATCCGGGAGTTGTGCTTGAACAGTGGTTGAATAGACTGAGGATATCAAATTGGTTTCGTGCTTTAGCAACTTTTTGGAATGGGATTATCAGGCTCACCTGAGGCTGCCTAGTTTCTCCGTCACGCTGACATCTTATTTACATTCATCATCGGAGAGAACCCCCCTCCCTCCCCCCCCCCCCNCCCCCCCGGATGAATGGAGAATCAACCCCATGCACTCTCGTAACGGCACGGGAATATCGACGCAAGTGATCAAAAACCTATCATTTACATTTATCTACATGAAGCGACAGTAGTTTTTTGATCGATTGTAGCGAGTTCCACTGGCTCTCAAACGGCCAATAAATCACTTGATTTTCAGTCCAGGGGGTTATTCGGTGTACGGTGGAAACAAGTGAAAAAGAAAAAATCGGAAATAACGTTGGAGCATTGACTGTCACTGAATCCGTTGGGACGCACACGGCAAAATCAACGTCGATCAATTTATACGGTTGAAGGGGCATGAACAAAAGAGAGATAACGAATGTTGGAAAAACATTACAGTAAACTCAAATGTTCGTTAACCAAATATTTTGTTTTGAATTCAATTGTTGGGTGGCGTTTCTAGAAGCGAATTTTTAATTGACATTTAGGCGTCTGGCTTCGGTGACAACAATTTGACCGAAAGTTTTGACTTTGAATTAAGGAAATTAGTTTTGTTATCAATTGAAATCGACACTTGGCAAAAGGGAGATAGCGAATGTTGGAAGAACATTGCAATAAACTCAAATGTTCGTTAACGAGTGGCAGAATGGAATGGCAGCCATCAAGAGGCGAATTTTTAGTTGACATGTAGGCGTCTGAGTTCGGTGACAACAATTTGACCGAAAGTTTTGACTTTGAATTAAGGAAATTAGTTTTGTTATCAATTGGAATCGGCACTTGGCAAAAGAAGATAACGAGTGTTGGAAAATTATTAGAATAAGCTCAAATGTTTGTTAACCAGATATTTTATTCTGAATTCAATTGTTGGTTGTAATTTCTCTGGAAATCGCAGTCGTCAAGAAGAGAATGTTTAATTGACATTTGATTTTGAATTAGTGAAATTACTTATGTCAGTTAATAGGAGAGAGATAACGAATGTTGGAAGAACATTACAGTGAACTCAAATGTTTGTTAACCAGATACTTTATTTTGGAATCAATTGTAGTTTGTCGTTCGTCTGGGAGTCGGAGTCATCGCGAAGCGAGTGAATTGGGGGAGAATTGTGGAAAAATCCGATGACAAACCTGAAGAATGAGATGGGAGGGTCGTAGCAGCGGCCGGGAGAGCCCTCGTTGGCAATTACTGGGACTCATCTTGCCCGACAATGCTCAGAGGCGTCTGAGCGGAGTTTGACCAAGAGGCCTCGAGTGCTGGGAAGAGGAGAAATAACTACCGGAGGAGCAATCGGCGGTTGCAATCGTGTACATGTGACAAGTATTTGTGCCAGTGTGTGGATAAAACGTGTGGGGTGGAACCAAGGGCAATATGAGGTGGTGTATAGCGGTGATTTACGTATTGGGGGTTGTTGGTGGACGGGGTCAGGAGCTGCAGGATTTGGACAAGCCTGGTGAGTTGAATTTATCTGGAAATTTCTGTCAAGTTTACACTGAGACTGGCGAAAAGCTCGACGAATTGTTAATAATAAACTAATCGAGGCGATCACTTCCGTTCATTTCACATTATCATAATCTAGTGGACAATAAAGGGGGCGGGATAGTCAGTTTGTATTGATACCTCAATTTATACAGATCGTTAGGTTTTCATTGTCAGCTTTATCAGATAATTATAGAATTCATCATATTTTCGGTCGAGAATTGCAATGATTTCTTTATTATATAGTCACTCTAATAGTATATCAATATTGGCACAGTTAATGGTTGTTAACTCGGGACTTGGAAGAATTTCCAAGACACCAAAAACCCATCTCAGCTGTAGAATTCAATCTTAGACTATTCCCCATCGAACTTGGGATTAGTTAGACCTGAAACCGGCACTTGGAAAATTCTGCCGATTGCGTGCGATCCCCTAAACCTTAAGTCCCAAATTCTCTTGTGCGCAATCGAATATTTCACCAGTTTCAGCTTCATGGAATTCTGAGGCTGAAACTGGTCAACAATTCGCTTTGCTCGTACGATTGTTTGGCCCTTAATCCCTCTAAAACCCCCCAAATTGAGTATTCCCTTCCCGAATATGCGACTAGTTTCTGCTCAATGATTTCAGGGGATAACTGAGATAGTTTGAAAGCCATCGTCAGATATTCCCTGTCGATAATAGTGAGTTCCTTTGCCACCTTTGGCAGAGGTTTCCCCAGCCCGCGGTTGCTTTGAAAGCTGTTACATTTTGGTTATAATGCAAAGCCAAAATCGATTATTGGAATCTTTGATTCATGCATGGGAAATTTGATAATCTTTCGTGAGGGCTTGCGTTGTTATCCTCCCTGCAATAAGTTCAATAACTTCATTAAAACTTTTTGGATTACAATTATTGACTTTGGAATTGGGGTTCATCCCGGGCTGCGAGACGTTAAATGGACGGGAAAATATTGTGGTCGGATAATTTAATGCGCTGGGAAAACCGGTCGGCATTGCTGCCTTATGCTAATTAATCTCGCACTTGGTCGGCAAAACGTGTTACTCAACAGGCACTAGGCTGTGACGACTTGAGAGGTTCTCTTGCCTCGTAAATGTCGAGGATTCTCGAGACCGAGTACTGGGTCCAACGGTGGGATCATTACGGCTCCATGTGTGTAGTTGTTTTTTCGTGTTTCAACGGCCGAAAATTTGGAGTTTTTATGGGACCATTCGGATAACGTGGGCTACCGCGGGATTTGATGGATCCGTTGAGTCTTGGAGAATGCGGTACGATGATGTTATCTTAATTAGACGAGTCACTTCACGTTGTTTACGACTTTGATGGTGACTTTTTTTGATTGAAGGATATGGTATGTTTACATTTGTCGTTTTCTTATTTTTTTTATTGAGAAAGGGGGACATTTATGATATTGGCTCGACGTATACGGAATTCAAAGTGAATTTACGTCATTTTTAACGTCAAATGGTATTTATTCACGGGGACAATCGGTGCAAACAATAAATGCTGGAATATTTCAATGGTAATTAATTATAAATAACCTAATTAGGTTCGAATATCGTTGAATGTGAAATAACAAATTATATCGATCTGTCATCTGTTGGTCATTTGAGTTGTCTTTAAAAATTTAATCGATTTAAGAGTGGAATTGTCACTTTTTTACTTTTATATTCTGATCATCATTTTTTAACCTACACTTTTTAACCCTCATATTCTGACACTCAGTGCCTGACCCTTATATTACACTTGAGAGGGCTTGCTACAACCCGGCCTGGTACACGGAGAGAAATTTTTGATAAAAATTACCCTGCCGTTCTATAAAAGTGTATCATGAGTCATCGTTTCCTCATTTTTATCCCGAAATTTAGTAAAAATTAATATATGATGAGCAAATTCTATTCTACGTTAGAGAAATTTTATCCTGACGCATAATAAATTTTACCCTTCCAGTCCAGTAATTTTTATGTAGATAACAACGAAAATTCTAGAACTGTTGGTAAATTTTACCCTACCGGTACAGTAATTTTTACTCTACCGGCACGGTAATTTTCATTTTTATCAGGATAAAATGTCTCTAACGTAGAATAAAATTTGATCATCACATATTAATTTTTACTAAATTTCGGGATAGAAATGAGGAAACAATGACTCATGATACACTTTTACACAACGGTAGGATAATTTTTATCAAAAATTTCTCTCCGTGTACTGAAGAATCATCTTCAAATTGAAATACCCATCCCCCAATGGAGTATAAAATATTCTTGAATCCAGTATATTTTATACTTAATTCCGTAATTTTTTTCCTCCGTATATTGTCAACCCCATACAAAAACTATAAACAACTATTCATCCCCCCATCATCTGTATAAACAACAACACAAAAATAAATCCGTCTAAAATTCTCAATCCGGAAGAGGCAAACTACAGGCGAGGAGAAAAACCGTATCACAAAGGTTGATTCATTCCGGTTATAACGTAAACCCCCGGTGAATTAAAAAATGCGAATCTGCATAGAATTCATCCCTGCCTCCGGCAGGTTCACATACCCCGTCCGGGATCTCGAGCCAGTTTAATTAGACCACGCGGATGATCCCGCCGTGCGATTTATTGCCCGGCGATAATATTAAAAAACCGCTGAAAAAAATCTAAAAAACGAGAGACTCGACGCGGCAGCTTTCTCGAAGGCGTCTCGATGACGATATTGATTGCCGTTTGCCCATGAAGAACCGGTAATAAGGCGCTTCAAACGGTTTATTTTCGCTCTTCAATCGATTAACGAATGAATAAGTGTTTTCAACTTTCATCGGAGCGCTTCGAGAATTTAATCAACAATCACTACGTGAGAAAAATTGAGAGCAAAAAGTACGAGTGAGTGGGTTGAGGCTTCTTCTTATTCCCGCCCACACCATTCGGTAAAAAGATGGTGGAGATGGTTGAATAAATGAGAGACTCAGGCCAACTAATTATCTTTTTGCATGCGATCTCTGGTTGTGTCTAGAGGACTCGTTGGATAACCACGAAATCGACTTAATGGCTGGGCGATTTATCATACTCGACCTGCCCTCCAGTCAAGTTGGGGCTTGGGGGTGATATTCGCCGCGGCATAACCTGTATTCCCCCCCCCCCCTGACCGATGAGCTCAACCCGACGCCTGATTTTCAGATATTTTTTTTATTTATTTGCATTTTTTGTGCTTCATTTCTCCTGCCATTTGTTCACATAAGGGGGAGGGGGACTTTTTTATTTGAACAGAAAGGCGTATAATGTAGACGTGACGATATGACTGCGCTGGGGAATGTAAACTAACGTACAATGGCGTGCGTGGTCTCCCCTCGTCACCTACCGACCCAAACAATGCTCTGCACGTTATTCCGACATTAATCCCACCGTGTCCTGTGACATTAGCCGTCACAGGCTGATGTCACTATTATTTTTGTCTCTTTGGAAGGGACGGGGGCGACTCCTTTTATCGGGGAGGACGTCTTGGATGGCCAGCGGAGGTGCACGGAAAGAAATTTTCTCTACTTTTCTCTCCTACCGTTCTATGAAAATGTAGTCAGGAGTCATCGTTTCCCCATTTCTATCCCGAAATTTTGAGATGATACATTTAGCTGAAGCAATTACTTCATAAATTATTTAGCAATTAGTTACGTGATACAGGCTCGTTTTTTCTCCGAGTCTATGAATCATACTACGAATTGCCGGCGGAGATATCCGAGTTCCGTCGGGGATTAGCAAGTGATCGCGGAAAATTGCCGGAGTTAAACAATATATCAGTGGTTTGTACACTTGTCGAAGACGTAAAGGCGAGGAAGATGAGCAAAAACGGAAGAGATGAGAGAGAGAGAGTGAGAGGGACGGAGGGGAGAGCTTACCGCAGATTACGAGTAATCCCGGTGGATCGGGTTAGCAGTTACACGCCTTTCGGACGTTGGAAACTTGAGGGAGGGGCGAGGGGTTTAGCTTTAGCGCGTTAAAGTGTATGAGACGGAGAGGGAAAATGATCCAATCTCTCTGTGCAATCGTATTAAATATACAGTCCGATTCCCCTGAAATGACTGGGGAACTCGGAGGGTCGAGATAAGAATGGGGAAAAATCGGCGGAAGGAGATGGCGACAATTTCTCTTTTTGCCCTGAAAATGATGATTTTATTCCATAAAAACCGTTGTCTTCTGAAGGAGGGAATTAAGATTCTGGGAATCATCTGGGCGGGCGTTTCCATTCACCTGTGGATGCATTTTCTTCGCGTTTGCGGTGCGATCGGGAAGTGCGAATGACCGGGGAAATCGTTGGGGAAAAATTGAAAAAGTCGTTTTATTCTTTTATTCGGCGTAAGAATTCTCTACATTTCATGAAGAGGGAAATTTTTCTGCAAATTTTTTCCCCGTGCACCGAGAGGAATAATTATTCGATTCTTGAGGAAATTTGGATTCCGTATAGGCAGATGGACGGCTCAGAATGGCGTTTTTCCACTTCCTACACCCTATACAAGATGAATT